CACACACACACACACACACACACACACACACACACACACACACACACACACGCATATGCACATGCACACACACATACACACAAAGACACACACACACAAAGGGTAGAATATGCACCGACTTTTAACCAACAATTCATAGCCTAAGGCTAAAAGATCCCCTCTATTTAACACTGTAGCCAAGAAACAAAACTTCTCAACAAACTGGTGATCGTGTGTGCCTAATCTATAATATTATTTCAACAAGTCAGTGAACTTTTCGGGCGGCTGCGACACATCATGCACCTTCTCTATTATTTCTATAATTCGTACAACGCTGTCGTGGAAAAAGAGAATTTAGAAGAAAGGGGAAACTACCAGGGAGATACAAATAATTGCAAATTATGTACTACAACATCCCCGCTGACCTGCGTGTATCAGCCACATACGAATTCATGCACCCGAACCTGAGAGCAGGGTCATCATTTTTAATTCGGTATGAGTGAACTCACCCAAAATATACACTCACGATCTCATAACTCTGGGAAAAAATCGTAAATTTGACTGAAACGTGTGTGTATACAGTTTAATAGTGCAATTACAACTTGCATTGTACTGCTTGATTGCGGTTGGTGTCCAGTAGAAGGCTCTACTACTACTATTTCCAGGCTCTTTCCATTAACACTTGAGTTCCGAGTTTGAGTAAAGAAAACCACATCGACACAATAATCAAATGCAGGGTAGAAGCAATACCAAGAGACAGAAACAACAGACAACAGAGAGAAAGAATTTTCGCTCAACCGTATGAAGTTGGAGAGCGCCGTAAAACCTTACTAAAACAAAGAGAGAAAGAATAGAAATAGGACCTGTCAGTGGTGCCCTCCAACCACCTGCTCCTGAACACTTGTAACACTTTCTTCAGTATGTAAGTATATGTAACATGTGATCAATGCAGGGTTGAAACGTTTTACGCTGGCCTCTTGACGAACAATTTGCACCAAAAAGAAAACCCAACCTAACAACAACCCAAAATAGCAGCCGTATTCATCTTGTATATCTTATATTGCACTTTCGGTGCTTGTCTCTCTCTTCCTTTTTTTTTCTTGTTCCATATTTGGGGACATCGATGATTGAACATTACCGGGCCAGATCGACGGGACAAAATGTCACCCGTGCCTCAAGCTACCCCTGTGAAAATTGATCGCGCCATCGTTCAGTTTGGCACCCTTTCACAAACAAAGACCACGCTGTCAATGAGAGTATTTGTTCGGCGTACGTGAGCCGATGAGGTATTTGAGAAAGGACAGGACGCCCGGGAGAGTCAATACGGCCCCCCTGGCCATAGTTTGTCCTTGTGGAACACCCTTACTTGAGGGAAGGGAGACGGGGAAGGGAGGTACACTCCGTCCATACGTCCTTTGGGGTAGAAGCTTTGGTAGAAGAGATGTGAATACTGTGTTGGATAATCAAGAATTCAAGATGGGTCTGTGTGTGTGCGTGTGTATGCGCGTGAGTGGGAGTGTGCATATATGCGCGCGCGCGCGCGTGTGTGTGTGTGTGTTTGTGAGTGTGCACGCGTGTGTGTGTGTGTGGGGGTGGGGGGTTTAAAGAGAAACAGAAAGGTAGAGAGTCACACGTAAGTCACACACACGCGCCTACACACACAGACACACAAGACACACACACACACACACACACACAGAGAGAGA